TGATGTTTCTCTCTCATCGATGTTTCTAACTCTCTATCCCTCTCTCTTCCTCTCTGTAAAAAATCAATAAAATATTTTTTTTTTTAAAGAAAAAAAGAAAGGGAGTGGACTGACAATTTTCAGGGGGAATGGGATCTGAGGGGTGTGGGAAGAGATTGGACAAAAGTCTTAAACCTAGGGATGAAGACAGTGGCGGAGGGTAAGGGGATGGGTTGGGTGGTGAATCAGGTGGAGGGAAGCTATTGGGGGGGCGGGGGGGAGAGGAACATCTGTAATAATATTTTTAAATAAATATTGATTTATTTAAAAAAAAAGATTTTATTTTTCTTCCTGACAGTCTTAGTTTGCTGTATTAGCAGCTATCTAAGGAAATATATTTTTGGTTATGGTGAATATGAATGGGGAAAACAATTTCTGGAATCGCCTCTTGACTAGAATACAGCTGCTCTGTAAAGTGAAGAACAATATTTATGTATTAATTCTGTTCTCTTGACAAATTACATTGTGAAAGTCAGTAATTTATATTTGAAATAAATATTCCTAGGTGTTAGAATGATTTATCCAAAAGAGTAAAACTTTACATGGAGTTGAAAAAACCACATGACAAGTGAAAGAAGCCAGATACACATGTAATTAAATTTATAAGAAATGTCCAGAATAAACAATCCTATAAAGACAAAAAAAAAGTTAAGTATAGGCTGCCAGGAACTTGGGGAAAAAGGGGATGGGGAATGACTGCTATTGGGGTGGCTTTTAATTTGTTTGATGAAAATATTATAGACATTGTGTTGTTATTGCACAACCTTGCAAATATACTAAAACACTTTATTTTTATTTTTAAATTTCATTTTATTTTTAAATTTCATTTTTATTGTTGACACTCTTTCAGATGTCCCCATTTCTCTCTCCTCCCCTTTCCCACCTCCACCCAGCCCCCACTTCCCCTTCCTTCTGGCCACCACTCTGTTGTCTGTGTCTGTGGGTTATGCATATATATTCTTTGACTAATTTTTTCACCTTTTATCCAACCTTCTCACAGCTGTCAGTCTGTTCCATGTACCCATGCCTCTGTTTCTATTTTGTTTGTCATTTTATTTTGCTCACTAGGTTATACATATAAGTGAGATCATATGGTATTTATTTTTCTCTGACTGGTTTATTTCACTTAGCATAATTCTCTCCAAGGCCATTGGAATTGTTGCAAAAGAAAAGATTTCCTCCTTTTTTTGTGGCCACAGTATTCCATTGTGCAAAAGTACCACAGCTTTTTTATCCACTCACCCACTGGTGGGCACTTTGGCTGCTTCCAGATCCTGGCTGTCATAAATAATGCTGCTGTGAACATAGGGGTGATATGTTCTTATGAATTGGTGTTTTGGGATTTTTAAAGTAAATTCCCAGAAATGGGATCACTGGGTCAAAAGGCAGTTCCACTTTTAATTTTTTGAGGAAACTGTACTGTTTTCCAAAGTGGCTGCACCAGTCTGTATTCCTACCAACAGTGTACCAGGGCTGGCTCCTTGTTCACCACATCCTCTCCAACATTTTGTTATTGTTGTTGATTGATTGATGGTAGTCATTATGACAGGTGTGAGGTGATATCTCATTGTGGTTTTAATTTGTATCTCTCTTTTTTTTAAAAAATATATTTTATTGATTTTCCACAGAGAGGAAGGGAGAGGGATAGAGAGCTAGAAATGTCGATGAGAGAGAAACATCGACCAGCTGCCTCTTGCACACCCCCTACCGGGGATGTGCCCGCAACCAATGTACATGCCCCCGACCGGAATCGAACCTGGGACCTTTCAGTCCGCAGGCTGACGCTTTATCCACTGAGCGAAACAGGTTTCGGCTAATTTGTATCTCTTTGATGACCAGTGACATTGAGCATCTTTTCATATGTCTTTTTGCAATCTGTATGTCCTCTTTGGAAGAGTGTCTATTCAGGCATTTTGCCAATTTTTTAATTGAATTGCTTGTTTTCCTGGTGTTAAATTGTATAAGTTCCTTTTATTATTATTATTTATTATTTCTGTATTATGGTATCACATAATTGTCCTCATCCTCCCATTCCCATCCCAAACCCCTCCACACATTTGCCCCTACCCCCTTGTTGTCCATGGCCACTGGCCAGGCTCATATGCATGTACACAAGTCCTTTGGTTGATCTCTTCCCCTTCCCCCCACCCTCCCCTACTTTCCCTCTGAAGTTTGAAAGTCTGATCGCTGCTTCTCTGTCTCTGGGTCTGTTTTTGTTCATCAGTTTATGTTGTTCATTTTTTCCTCTAGATGTGTGTGAGATCATGTGATCCAAGAAATACCCTTATAAGAACCGAATCTGAGACAAGCCATAATGGTTATGCTGAGAGGCAAATGAATCAGTCTGTAGTGAATTCCTTTCTGGGCCAACAGATATTTCAAATCTGGTTGGTGGACAAATGGTGGTGATGCCGGTCCAACTGTCTCTGGTTTGGTCCTGGGCATCCTTCAGCAACACGCAGCTGCTGTCTGCTGGTATGGTGAGGCGTCGTCAGCATCTTCCATCTCTCAATTGTGTCTCTTCTGTCTTCATGGCTGGAGCACTTCTGTTTATTCCCCTCTGTTACAGGAATCCAGATGGTCTCGGAGTTGTTTTATGAAAATATACAAACATATTCTCGACCAAAAGTTAAGGAAGGGATATTTTCTATAAATTTGACTTGGGATCCTTTTTCATTCTCCCTCCTTCCTCCTCTCAAATGATTTTCCTCTGGCTTGTTTTGACACCATGTGTGTATTTTCATGGGTATCTTGCTGTTAGCGTTTCTAATGAAAGTTAATTTCTTAAAGTATAAATTTTTTAGGTGTAATTTACTCACAGGATATTTTTCCTTACATGATATTCTTCCACTGCCACCCCCTTTTTAAATTTAAATAATAGGATGCTTTTGGAAGTTTTATAATGTAGTCTTGATAGCTTTTACATTTTAATTATTTGCGCTAAACTATGACTGCTTTAGGTTCATTACATGTTATACAATTTTACAATGAGACGCTCTGCCAATAAGAACTTTTGTTAACACTTTAGGAACAGCTTTTTGTACAGTACAATCAGTTTTTCTAGAATATTTCCATTAGCCATGTATTTATTTACCATGTGTGTATTAGTGGAAATCATTATTTGCCTTCTTGAGAAGGGCCTGAGCATTCCTGCTACTAGGCTGGACTTGCCCACACCATGGGTACAAGACCTCTCAAACAAGTCTTGTTGCAGTGAGAGGGCAACTGCTATCATCCAAGTCTCTGTCTGTTACCTGGGTCTAACTTTGAGCTGTGCATGGGAAGCGAAGCAGCCAAGGGGGCAGGAGACCTCCCTCAGAAGGGGAGGAGGTTCAGGCGCCTGCCAAGTTGCAGGGGGGGAGGGGTCGTAATGGTCTTTGCCCTACCTTTGTTGACCCCCAAGTTTTCTCTGATAGCCCTTCTGTGACTGTGCTTATCTTAGGGTGTTCCTTCCCTGAGGAATCTTACCCGTCTCTGGCTAACCAGCCATCCTCCCGGGCCAAGCAGGGTGATGTGAGGTTTAGTTCTGTCTCCTTGGTAGCCTATGCCCCCATGGGCTCCACACCCAGCACCTGCCTCGGGAACCCCTCACCTGCTGGCAAGGCCCGGAAACTGATCTCATGTTTTGGGGAACACATGTTTCTTCTCCAGAGAAGGTCAGCTTACCCCACTGGGTGAGAGACAGATCCATGGTACCAGCCACCGTGGTGTTTCAGCCTCAGCATGAACTGAATGTACAAGTTCTTTATGTATTTTAGAGATTACCCCTTACCGGGTATACTATTGATGAATATGTTCTCCCATACAGTGTATTTCCTTTCATTTTTTAAAAATTATTTCTTATGCTGTGCAGAAGCTTTTTATTTTGATGTAGTCCCATTTGTTAATTTTCTTTTTCTTTTTTAAAAAATATATTTTATTGATTTTTTACAGAGAGGAAGAGAGAGGGATATAAAGTTAGAAACATCGATGAGAGAGAATCATCGATCAGCTGCCTCCTGCACACCCCCCACTGGGGATGTGTCCGCAACCATGGCACATGCCCTTGACCGGAATCGAACCCGGGACCCCTCAGTCCCCAGACCGACGCTCCACCACTGAGCCAAACCGGCTTCGGCCCGTTTGTTAATTTTCTCTTTTGTTTTTCTTGCCCTATTTATTTGAGGATATACTTGTCCTAAATGGCCTACTAATTATAGTTATGTAATTAGCAGGCCATTTAGGACAAGTATATCCAATATGTTTGAAATGTATCAGCAAACATTGCTATGAGAGATGACTGAGATTTTACTGCCTATGTTTTCTTCTAGGATTTTCATGGTTTTATGACTTACATGTAAGTCTTTTATTCATTTTGAACTTATTCTTGTGTATGGTGTGAGTTGGTGGTCTAGCTGCATTTTTTTGCATATACCTGTCCAATTTTCCCAATATCATTATTTGAAGAAATTGTCTTTATATTTGCTTCCTTTGCCAAATATTAATTGACTATATAGGCATGAGTTGATATCTGTACTCCTTGTTCGGTTCCATTGATCTATATACCTGTCTAAAAACACTTTAAAATGATGAATTTTATGGTCTGTAAATTATATCTCAATAGAAAAGAAATGTATAAGGAAAAAATTCTTATAACTATAATTAGCAGACCATTTAGGGCAAGTATATCCTCAAGTAAATAAGAGTTAATTGGATAAGTGGTGCTGAAAAAAAACAAAATGAAAAAATAAAATTTTAAAAAGAGTTAATTGATGGATGTCAAGAACTGCTAGAAATCTTTTTTTAGACCACAAGTCTAAAATACCATCATCATTTGTTGAATAATAAGACAGGAGTGAGCTTCAACTAAGTTACCCCATGTAATCTCTAAGAAGTTGTGTCCAATAGTTCCATTTGGTTAGGGAGCTAACTTCTTTGTTTCAAACTCTCTCTCTTACACGTTATTTTAATTTTACTTTCAGCATCAGTATGACAACCTGTTCCACAGTGGCTGCCCTGGGAATGATGCCACTCTGCCTTTATCTCTACACCTTGTCCTGGAATTTTGAGCAGAATTTCACCATTCCGTATCAGAACATAGGTCTGTATGAGCTTGTGCAATGAAAAAGTATCAGGAATGGGGATGGTGAGGGTAATAGCTGTTATTTACTAAGTGTCTCCTGTAGGCAGCATGTATGGTTTTTTGTTTTGTTACCTAATTCAATTTTCTAAGTAACTCTACAGTACAGATTCTATTTCTAGTTCCATTTCCTAGATTTTCTGGATTAGAAAGATTCTTATAAGTAATTCTTATTAAGTAACCTCACTAATCCAGAAGTTTGTGCAGTTGGTAAGGGCAGCACTTGAATTTTGACTCAGGAATCTGACCACAAAGTCTAAACTCACTAACCCCTACCTAAGCTCACTTTTGAAAATAAAGCCAGAAAACTTATTGAAAACATTTATAGAGTTTATTGTAAAGCAACTGGACTCACCATGTCCAAAAGGTTACCTGGTCGCTGGGGCTCTAACGAGGCCTCAGTTCCCGCAGGTCCACCTTTCACATCGCCTGTGAGCCTTGACCTCTCTGCTGATCAACAGAAACGATTCATGTTGGTTATTGAAGTGTGTGCACTTGTCACAACTATTACCCTTATCCCTTTCATTATCGCTCTTCCTGAATATTATTTCTCATCAAACTCTGCCCAGCTCCTAGAGATCTCTGTGGACTCACTAGCCTTAGAAGAAAACCTGGGTAAGACGATCTGCCTGTTCTAGTTTAGTCAGAGTGTTTGGAGAACTGGCAGTAACGATGACTCTTAAAAGTCTAACATGCCAATCTGGAGTCTCCAGTCGGCCTTTGGAGAGCTTACAAGCCACAGTCCATATTTTAAAAGCATGACTAGCGCCATCTTTTGATAATAGCTGGAGACTATTGACTGTAAAATTTGAGGAAGATCTTAATTTAGAGATTATGATTTTATGTACAGCTTTTTTGATTACTATATTTTGATTACTATATATTGAATATATTACTTAATATATTCTGTTTTGATAATATATTCCGAAAGACTCATAAATAATTAAAACACAAAATATTAGGAGCAATTTGTATACCTTTGGAGCCAGTATTGCAGGCATTGGTAAGGAGCTCTACTGAGCCTGCCTTCAGTGCCTTTATTTGCTTGTGTTAACTGAAAGGCATTTTCTCCCTACTTGCCATCAGGTTACCTAGTTACACTTGGAGATTATGAGAAATGACTTTGATATGTGTAACAAGTACTGTTTTTTTTTTATGTCTGAAACAGGTATTCTTACTTTGTGAAGCAAATGACCCATTGGCATCCAAAAGGGAACAATAGCTGTGGTTGTGGAGGGGTCCCCATACATAACACCAAAGATGATCACAGATTAAAGAGCATCCTTCTGTTTGCTAACTTTACATTTCCAGTTGTCCCTAAAATCTTATGGGGTTGTCAGAGGGATTCTGAGGGAAATGATGAACCAAATATGGTGGCAGTCAGTAATATCATACAGAGCGGCCAGATTATTATGCTCTCTGAACGCATAATAATCTGGCCACTCAGTACATATATATATATTAGAGGCCCGGTGCATGAATTTGTGCGTGTCGGGGAGAGGATATGGGCGGTTGGCCAATTTGCCTGCTAGTTGAACTCCTGGGGATAATTTGCATATTAGCCTTTTATTATATAGGATATACACTGACTGAATGGCCAGATTATTGTGCATTCAGAGATCATAATAATCTGGCCACTCAATCGATACCCTTCAAAGACCGTCTTCCAAAGACTGAAAAAAAAAATTTAAAAAAATTGAAGGTAGATGCAGAAGCAAAATGCAACTTTAATGAAAGCTTTTAACTGGTTGAAACAGAAATTGTTGAGGCCGGAGGGTCAGGGTTAGGGCGATGCCACCTGACGGATTTCTCTTCTATTCAGGGATTTCCCTCCTGTGCCTGACCGTTCCTGTGGCCTTCGGTGTCTATGTGAATTATAGGTGCCCCAAACAATCCAAAATCATTCTCAAGGTAAGCAGCTCCGCCTGGCAGTTGGCACATCCTCAGACTCAGAGACGTGACAGATGGATGTAGCAATGACTGAAACAAACAAGCCAGACCCATGCGGGCCCACACCCAGCAATTTTCTCTGCCTGTCCTACATTTTTGGATCCTACCTCCGAGTTTCCTCTGCTCCTCTGGGCCTTGCTCTGTCACTCCCATAGTCCCATCAGCCGAGGCTTGGGACACACCTGCTGGAGTGACAGAAAACTGAGGCCTGAGCGTGGTCAGAGAACCCAGGGCCCATCCACTCACAAGGCTTCACACAGGCGCCCAGGTGGCTGCTGTTCAGGGTGTGTGGGGCCCAGTGTTTAGGGAGCAGAGCTGGTTTCATGGAAGAGTGGGACCAAGGGCTGTCTTTTGGAAGCTCCTAAGGTTGTAGTTTGTACACATGGGCAAGGGCTGCCGACCACGTGAAGAACCGTCACAGTGAGATAGAGCATCCAGAGCACTTGAAGGCTCCTGGCCATGGACTCTTGGTAACTGCAACTCCTGCCTTGTCTTGTGTTTGCCAGAGAACCAAGCACGTGTCCCTGTTAAATGGCTGTGAAAGTAACTAGGTAAACAGAAGATATTCTCAACAAAGTGTTAACCTCCTGGGGTGCTTTCTGATTTCCCAATTATGTGTTGTTTTCTTTATTTTTAGAGATGCTTATTTTTAGTGTCTATATTCTTTTAGTTTGATATATACAGTATATGTGTTGATTTCAGAAAGAAAGGGAGAGGGAGAGAGAGAAACATCAATGATGAGAGACACCCGCCACTGGGGATTGAGCCTGCAACCTGAACATGTATCTTTGACTGGAATTGAACCCAGGACCCTTCCATCCACAGGCTGACGCTCTATCCACTGAGCCAAACCAGACAGGACTATCTACTAGGATTGTTTTAGAAGACAGAGAATTCTAGTGTCTGCTTACTTCTATGAGGTGTTTAAAAGTGTTCTTTATATTTTACATTTATAAAGAAATAAACATTGGGGGCTAGCAGGAGGTTTCACAAGTATGTCTGAGATCATTTCAGTTGAAGGTTTACAGTTTGGTTCAGTTTAAGCGCTTGCCATTTGGCTCTATCTGGCAGAACATGGCTGCTCCACGTGCCTGCAAAAATGGACGCTGCTTTCCTGGTTTGGCCCCAAACCAAACACTGCCATCACCCCTCCAATGAGAGGAGGAACATGAGAAGGGGGACAGGCAGACAGGTCAGCTGGCACAGCGCTGGAGGAAAGCTCTTATGGTGATTCAGGAGTGACTTTGTTACTTCGGTGGGAGAAAATGTCTAATGAGGCAGTTCATGGTTATAATTTTGTTTATAAAACAAGAGAAGAAAATATGATTATTGGAACCTCTTACTTTTCAAGTATTTTCCTTGGATTATTTCCTAACAAAGAAAGTCATGATTTTGGTGTTTCCAGATCTGTCAGTGACAATGAGGAAATCAAATATATTTTCTGTAGGTCAGTTTCATTTCTGTAAAGGTCAGATTTAAAGCTCCTTTCCTTTGGCTATTCCACTGGATTTGTGGCAGAAAATATTTAGTAATATGCATACTAAAGGTGCGCTAGAATATCGCTAGAATATCTACATAGATATTCTAGCGCGCCTTGATTTTAAAAAAAGACTGGGAAAATTTAATCATTATTTTGGTATATCTTCAATCTGTTCTTCATCCTCTTTTTTTAAAAATCTAAATCACTATTTTATTTATTTACTTAATTATTTAAAAAAAAAAAATGGAACACTACATGAATTTGCATGTCATCCTGGGCCAGGGGCCATACTAATCTCTGTATCATTCCACGTTTGGTATCGGTGCTGCCGAAGCGAGCACTGTTATTCATCCTTTTTTAATTTAAGATCTGATTAGTTTTCTAAACAAATTGCTTTCTGTGAATTTTAAACGTTTAATCCCCGTTTTGGTAGAAAGATGCAGAGGGATTTTTATAGTCGCAGACTTTCTCGGTGTGTTACAGCATCTTCCAGGCTGGTGAGGCCGTTTCTCCCTGTGTTTGGGCAGTAAAGGTGACTCCAGGAACACATCGATGGCACACGGAGTTGTTTTGTTTTGCTTTGGTAACCCATGGCTACCTTCCTCTACACCCTTAATCATTTCACATTGCAGTGGATGCTGTAACTAGTTCGCTGTCACCATGTTATGAATGGGAACTTGCCAAGATCCTGATCTTTCCCAAATATTCTAGGTCTTGCTTCTTTCCTATCTGATCTAAAACTCAAACCACTGGAAATTTTTCCGTTTGATTTTTTTTTGTTTCTGACAAACAACAAAAGAGACGGCATTCATTTGGGAGAGGGTGGAAGTATTTGTCAGTACCTCTCATGTCACATTAATTAGCTCACATTGTCTAATGAAGAATGGGTAACTTTCATTTGGAGCAGAGAAGGGCAGGGACCAAAGCAGGGACCAAAGCACCATCCCTTCACTTTGGTGGGTGAAGGGATGGTGGGGAGAGAGTGGGGGATGGTCAGGCAGGAAGGATCTCAGATAAGAGGTTACCAGCGAGGTATCTAAGAGGTGTGTGTACAGGTGTTGGATGCTTATTGTCAGGTTTTACTTATGTCACAAATACGTTCTATCTATGAAAACGACTATGTGATCCTTCTGACCAAATCCTCCACTTACAGAGAGAAGTTACAGTTCATAAAACAAGAAGACTGAGCTTCATGCTGAGCCTTACCAATTCCTGGCTTAGCCAGGTCACTTGACCACTTTGGACCTTAGGTTTATTCTCTGTGAAATGGTGGATTTGGTGGTCTCAAAGTCCTCTTTTTTGTTCTAAAACTTCTAGGTTCCAAGCTTCTTAGAGCAGTGATGGACTTTGCATCGTAGAACCTGAAGACCAAGATGTTTATGTATTTATTTTATCGGTTTGCTTTAGATTGGGGCCATTGTTGGTGGGGTCCTCCTTTTGGTGGTCACAGTTGCTGGTGTGGTGCTGGCGAGAGAATCTTGGAATGCAGACATCACCCTACTGATCATCAGTTGCATCTTTCCTTTGATTGGCCATGTCGCGGGCTTTCTGCTGGCGCTTCTTACCCACCATTCTTGGCAGAGGTACAGTTAAACTATCCATAAACTTTGATGAGAAGAATAAATGAAACCCAAAGCCTTTGCTGTCTGACTATGTCTGGAAACTCAGAGTTTTGACTTACAAGGTGGATGGACTGGGACAGCTCCTCAGACAGAGGGTGAAAAGTTCATGTAAATGAACGCAAAGGCCAGATTGATGAACATTGTAATCTGTGAAATTAGGACCTGGGTGTTGATACCACTTGTAATCTGGACACCTTGCTCTTCATTAGTGGTTAAATAGGAGGGGTGAGATGGTTTCACTACATAAAGAGATCATTTCAGGGCATGTGCAAGTTCAAGAGATTAAGCATATATGCCTTGTTTGTGCCAACTTTTAAAAAGTGCCACTTATGAGGGGCAAGAAGAGAAAGGGCAAACTTGAGAAATAAAATAGAAAATTTACCTTAAATATTATCATTACAAATGGGAAACATAATTTACAAATGCTGTGAAATATTAAAAATGATAATATTCCATATTATTGGAATAGATGAGATGAGCATTATTATACACTGTTGGGGGTAACATAAATTGGTATATACTGTCTAAAAGACAAGTCACATCAGTAGCCTTATAAATATTTATAGTTAACAGTGGTTTTACTTCTGGAATTCTGTCCTGAAGCTATCAGGTAATTGCACAAATATTGATATGCAAAGATGTTAATTGAAATGTTATTCATAAATATAAAAAATAGAAACAATTTAAATATCTAACAATACAGAGATTTAATTCATGATATGGCTATGTGATGGAATATGATGTATCAATTTTAATTCTTTTGAAAATACTTAAGAGATAAATTTGAGTTAAAAAAGAAAGAAAACAGTATACATTTTGAGTAGTCTCATCTTGTAGAAGGAAGAAAAAAATTTATGCATAGAAATTTTATGCATAGAAAAATACATATGCTAATAGTGTTTATTTTGAATAGTAGGATTAAGACTAATTTTAATTGCTTAACATTTTTGGTATTTTTTAAATGTTTTTCACTGAGTATGTAATTCTCAATTCTTTTAAAATCAGAAAAGAATGTTTGAAGAAAAGTAAACTGTGCAGTTGAATTCCAAAGGTGGAGTTTGGGAAGAATGTAATTGGCCTCATGCTGTTTCCAGTTCACTAGGCAACATTTAGGATTGTACAAAGTACGGGGTGAGGCTCCACCAGGAGTATCTCATTTACTTGCTACAAAGCCTCAGCGATATCATCAATAGTTTGCAGATGAGTGAACCCTTCAGAGAAATGAAGCAACTTGACCAAGTTCATTGAGCCAGAATGTGGTAGAGTTAGGATTTGGACCTGGGCTTGCTTCCAAAGTTAGGAACAGGGACTGTTGAGCGGTTGAAACATAATTGGATCTGGAGAGAGAGTATTCCTATAGCAAAGTGTAGTCAACAGTCTCATCCCCGTCCTCCTTCCCCCCGCCTGATGGCTTAAGGAAGATCAGAACTGAGACCCTGCATGTGCCCAGGGAATGAAGGGCTCAGGTGGGCGGTCCAGCTTGTAGCTTAGTTTGATGGAGGCAGGGTAGTCTGGAGAAAGCATAGCAGCAATGGGGCCATTATAAATAAAATAAGAGCCACAGAACTTGTCCTGTGACAAGTGATGCCATTTCCACTCCCACATCCCACACCCACATTCCGGTCCAGCTTACCATCGGAACACCTCTTCTCTTCCAGCCCTCAAACTCTGCTGACTCCCTTTAGAACCTGGACACAGGTGAAACTGCTGACTCCAGCCCTCAAGGCCCTGCCTATGTCTTCTTTTTTCTTCCTCCTGCTTTTTCTTTTTCAAGTGAGGTTATTTATTTCTTTTCTTTTCTTTTCTTTTCTTTTCTTTTCTTTTCTTTTCTTTTCTTTTCTTTTCTTTTCTTTTCTTTTTTCCTTTAAAAAATATTTTATTGATTTTACACAGAGAGGAATTGAGAGGGATAGAGAGTTAGAAATGTTGATGAGAGAGAAACATCGACCAGCTGCCTCCTGCACAACCCCCACTGGGGATGTGCCTGCAACCAAGATACATGCCCTTGACCGCGGGACCCTTCGATCCGCAGTGCGATGCTCTATCCACTCAGCCAAACCAGTTTTGGCTCTGTTGCTTTTCTTTCTTTCTTTCTTTCTTTCTTTCTTCTTTCTTTCTTTCTTTCTTTCTTTCTTTCTTTCTTTCTTTCTTTCTTTCTTTCTTTCTTTCTTTCCTTCCTTCCTTCCTTCCTTCCTTCCTTCCTTCCTTCCTTCCTTCCTTCCTTCCTTCCTTCTTTCTTTCTTTTTTTTTTTTTGCAATAAGGAAACCAGTAAAATGTAGGAAAGTGGAAAAGGTTTTTGTGTTTACTTCCAAGTGTTGTTTAGTTTATACTGTTTCTATTTCTAACTCAACTTTCCCTTCTCACCCCTCAGCCTCTGCTCTTCACAGATTGGCTTACAGCTTGGGCAGTGCCTCCGGGCAGGCCAAACTCACACCTGTCCCTGGAATTTTACTTTCAGTCCTTGTCCCTCAGTCAATGCCTCTTCCCCTCTCCCCATGCTTTAATCCCACATCCTCTGTGAAGTCTTTTCTAACCATTGACGCCCCTTTTCTAAATGCCTACAGCATCTCCCCGATTTGTCTGGTGGCGGTACGAATTTCCACGGGGTACCTCTTGGACTTTTCAAGCAGATTCCTAGGTTGGGATTCATAGGGCCTCCTCCCAGCTGCCTCTCAGGAGACCACCTACAGAGTAGGCACTCAGCAAGTAATGATAGGACGAATAAACATTTTTAGGGGCCTAAGCTCACAGCTTATATTTATTGCTATTTGTAAGGGAACAAGTAAGAATAATCCTTATTGCTATTATGTAACTCTTGAAAAAAAATTTTTCATTGTAGGTGCAGGACAATTTCCTTAGAAACGGGGGCCCAGAATATTCAGATGTGCCTCACCATGCTGCAGCTCTCTTTTACTGCCCAGCAGCTGGTCCAGATGATCAGCTTCCCCCTGTCCTATGGACTCTTCCAGATGGTGGATGGATTTCTCATTGTTGCAGGTGCGTAGAGCCCTGTTGGGTACACTCGACTGAAAATTATTGACTCACCTTCGCAACTCTCTTTTCAGTCCAAACGTGAGCGGGCTGTCCTTGTGACACATTTTTAGCCTGACATTTTTTATTTTTTATTTTTTTGGCAAATAAAATGCACAAACGAGATTCTTTGCCACAAAGTGGAAGTTTCACAGAAAAATATAAGAAACCATGGGAAAGTGAGCCATGGGGAAGATAAACAAGTATGCTTCACATAAAAACAGTGCATGATCAGAACTCAGATTTCAGGATTGATCAGTCTCCAGGAGCAATCATTTATTTCTATGTTTCATCAAGAGCTAAATGTCAAGTTATTTCACAGTGTTCTTTTGGCAAAGAATTGTGCTGAATGGCTGTGACATATTTTTCAAATATAGTACAGACACAAATATTGAAATTAATTATGCGTGTGTTGGGGCAAACAAGGTTTACAGTTGTTCGTGTGGAAAATAATACACAAGAACAAACTCTGTGTTTCATGTACTGACAACTATACACCTACTTTTGCCCCACCTTGTCTGCTGTATACCCATATAGCTATAATAAATATGTCATTTTGGAATCAGTCACTATTTAGACTCATAAGGTAAATTTGAAAAAATATAGATGGGTAGATATGAACATACACATGTATTTTAATCTTGGGCCATGGGCAATTTTTATTATTGTAAGGGAACAGGGCTGAGTAAGCCTCAGTGATTGCTGATATAGCTGATTATATTAAATTCATGCATGGATAGGGTCCCTAGGCCTGGCTAGTGATCAGGGTCTATCAGGTTCCTCCTCCTTCCCTTGCCACTGGCATACTACCATTACATGGTTCTCTTCCCCCACCTCCCCGCCTCCTCTTTCCCTCGCTCCCTCAGCAACCCACCACAGCTGCTGGTTGCCCGCCATGTTCCACACCCTCCTACGCTGATGGTCAGCACACATCATAGGGAGCGACTGAACAGCTGTTCTCCAGGTTGAACTCCCGAGGGGACACTTTGCATATTAGCCTTTCCTCTAGAGAGATCACTGATATAACCACCAATATAAGAATACTGGGATTTTAATTTTCCAACAATATAAGAGAAATCCTAAGAGACTCCTGGACTGAAGTCAAGCTTGAATTCCTTGTCCTGGTGGGACTGTGAGGGAAGGAACACGGGACTCCCAGCTCTCCTCCCGCACCCAGGGAAGCGCTCACTGGAAGCCCTCCATGGGAGCGGCTGACGGACTGACACATAAACGGATGATCTGTTGGTGAGCTGATGACTACCCTAAGTCTCTTTCACAAATGGTCCAGTCCAGACAGAGTCACCCTTTTGATACACTAAATTGTTTTGTTTTATAGTTTCCTGCGTGTTAATACACACATGACCCCAAACAAACAAATTCTCAAAGCATGGACAAGCGCACAAGGTCACCAAACTATAATCCTTACTAGCGTGATTTATTTTTTTAATGACTTGTGTGTTTTCACATGTAGCATATAAGTTGTACAAGAGGAGACTGAAGAACAAACACAGAAAAAAGACCCCGGGCTGTGCAGAAGGCTGCCGTAACGAGCGCTCCACCTCTCCCCAAGAGACCGGTGCTTTCTTGGAGGTGAATGAAGAAATCGCTGTAACTCCTGGGACATCAGAGCCGATGGATCCCCCTGTGGCTCTCGAGCCAACGGGCCCCATCTCCTCATGTGCACAGTAGGGGCTTGCGGGTCCCTACTGGACGCTGGCTACCTCCACCCTCAGTAAAGAGAGTGCAGGCCTGATGCGTGGATCTCATGGGCGAGGCCTGTGGGAATGTCTACATTTTTGTGTGGATTGTAAATTGTCCCAGGATCCCTCTTTGAGAATGTATTCTGCCTCTTTCAGGGAGTCCTTTGGGGTTTGCACAACATATTTACCAGTTGCTGTGTTCTAGTCTTCCCGTTGTTATGTGCAGTCGTCCTCACTTGTGGCTTTTAACCACAGGAGGGTAGGGACTCTGTAGAGGTGCCCTCTCATATTCAGGGCAAGGACAGTCTGAACGCCCTTGACTTTGGGAAGGCTCTTCGGAGCCCGGGGGAGGAAGCACTCAGGTCTTAGAAAACATGGGGTCTTTTCTCAAATGGTCGTTCAATCTTAAGGGCTTGAAAGTCTTTTTGGATTGTAAACGTAATACAGATTTAGAGGAAAATCTGTATTTAACGAACACTTGAGGTTAAAAGGTGAATGTCCCATATTTTCACTCCCCAGTGATAGGCACATATATATCCTTCTAAGGGTTGTTTACACATTATACCACTTCAAAAATACTGGGCTTTTCCCACGTATACTGTCTAATAAGTCACTTAATGACGCCTTATGGAGCACCTTCACACGTCGTTCTGTGCTGACCTGCCTCATTCTGTAGAACAATGGCTTTGTAGAAGAGGCTCACTGCGTGGAAGGACTGACTGGTTTCACGGTTCCTCATTCGCGGGCATTTAGAGAGCGTCAGCTCACTGGCACTGCGATGCTGCTCCGCATGCCTGTGCCCTTCTGGGGGCATTTCTGTATGGCCACTGTCTACAGCTTGAATCGACAGGCCAACTGCACAGGAAGACGCTGGACTCCGCTCTCTGGCAATGCTGAGCGCTCAGCAGTGCCCAAGAGGGCCCAGCCCTCGGCCCCGGCCAAAGGATGATCAGCTTTGATGTGTGAGAGCGTCACATTTGAAGCCGCATTTAATCAGTTCTGAGTAAAGTATTTTTTTTCATGACCACTTGCCTATTCATGTCTTTTGACTGCTTTTCTATTTTATTTGTCCTTTTTGATTGACAGGTTCGAACACTTTATGGATAGTGACCCATTGCCTCGTTTTTGTCAGTGTTTTACACCCTCATTTATCTTTTGCTTTTTGGGAATGTCTTTTGCTGTACAGTTTTATACTTTTTACATATGAAGCAGTATTAATCTTTTAAAATAATGTTTTTGACCTTGATCTCTGTCCAGTGTTGGAACTTTACATTTTTTATGTGACTGGATTGTGAAAGGATTCCTTGCTGAGAATGTATTTGGCCCCTTTTCAGGGAGTTCATTTTGGGTGTTTACTAGCTGCGGTGTGTACTGCCTGGCATTGTAGAACCCATTCTCCTCCTCTACTCTTACATTAAACATATTTTCCATGTCCTTTCATCTTGATTTTATGAAAAACTAGACATGTACATATTTTATCCCATTTTGAACTTTCTAGATGGTGTGTGAAGAACGTAATATTTTTATGATTAATTGTCCCAGTATCACATATTGACTCATTCATCTTTTCTTTACTGATTTGAAATGCCTCCTTTATCACCTAACTCAGTGGTTGGCAAACTGTTGGCGCCACATGTGCTCTTTGGCCCCTCAAGTGTGGCTCTCCCACAAAATACCATGTGCAGGCGCACACGTACAGTGCGATTGAAACTTGTGGATTGAAACTTTGTGGCCCATGCACAAAAGTCGGTTTTCAACTCAAAAGAAATTTCAGTCGTTGTACTGTTGATATTTGGCTCTGTTAACTAATGAGTTTGCCGATCACTGACCTAACTTCATATATATGGAATCCCATATATATATATGTTGGGATTCCATTTGGTTCCTTTTTTTTTCTATCCTCATTTGTAAGTTTTGAAATGTGTAAGAAACTGTGTTGTCTGAGATAAATCTTTACAGTTTTATTTTGTCAGTATTCCCAAGAACTCGTGGGGTAATATAATGACCATGATTACTGTGGTAGTTTCACAACAATTGAGCACACCTTTGTGGAGGCACAGAAAGAGCCCAGCGGGGTGTCACCAGTGTATTTACATGTTAAAGAACTCCGCAGACCTTTGTCCTGGTTGTTAATCCTCAGGGCTGCCTGGCCAAGGGTTGGGGTGGGAGGTGGGGGGGTAGGGGGTGAGTGAGTGGGGTGGGGATCCCCATTTACCCACCGGCAAATGGGAGGGGTTGAGAAGCTGGTCTGCGTTGTGCACAGGGCACAGCAGCAGTAACCAGGCAGGAGGGGTCCTGCTCGTGGGGAATCTTTTCTCTGCCAAGGGCCATCTGGATGTTTATCACATCATTCGAGGGCCATACACATTATCAACTGAAAATTATATTGCGATATTTGGTCAAACGTTTAATTAACTCACCCCTAATGCCTGGCAGGGCCAGACCAAGCAGTTTTGCAGGCCTTATCAGCCCGAGGGCCTGACTTTCCCCATCCCTGGGGAAAGTGGGGAGGAGATCATCGGTGGGGAGGAGATCATCGTGCTGAACACAGTAGAGCTGGGCATAAACAGAGATCTCAGGTCTGAAATGAGTGTGACCATGAGTTGTAAAGACTGCACCAAAAAGTGAATTTTTAAATTGTTTCTCTGCAGAGGAACTTAATGGTAAAATCCAACACTTTGTTCTGAAAGGATTAACTAGCTGGTCAGTGTTACGCCCAGACTTCGTGATCCCCAAGGACCACCAGGGAGCAGAGTCTGATGCAATAAACAAAAGAGCCTTTTCCATGCTAGCATGGGCTCTGACTCACTCACATCAGCAGCATGGCAGAAGAGAGCAAATTTCGCCCAGTCCAGGGGTTTTACTCCGGTCAGTAGTGATGTCACTGCCTTGGCTAACCCTGATTGGTTGGGTGAGGGCTAGGGTTCAGTTACAGAATGGAGGATAACTCCGCCCTGCCCCACAGTGGTGTCAGGAGCCCATCGTCACCCTGCCCTGCCCTCTCAGTCAGCATGGTCAGCGTAATCATAGTCAGGACACTTCTGGGACAGGTCTACCAAAAGCCATTTGCTAAGACAGAAACAACCCCAGTCAATGCCAGGGTTTGAAAGTAGTCACGTCAGAAGCCCTTCCATCTCCAGGGAAGGTTTGTACACGTGTTACTGAGAAGACCTGGACACAAGTAGTCTGGAGGCGTTAGGAGGTAACTATGAAAAAGCGCTACCTGAATAAACCGTATTCTAACAACTGATCTAAATAACTACAAGTTCATAAAAGCCTGGGCCTACAAGAAGCTCAGAAGAAGTGGGGCCAGGGAAGGGAGGTTAAACAGACTGAGCCCAGCTCTCTGTCTGGAAAGGAGCTGGGTGGGTGGTTAGGGCTGCAGGCTGCAGCCTGGGCTACCTGCTGACTCCATGTAAAAGGCCAGGCCGCCACTGGAGTTGTGGGTTGAAGGCAGACTTGGTATTGAATTCTAGCTCTGCTATTTGGACAAGTGACAGCCCCTCTGGACTTCAGTTTCTTTTTTTTGAAAACAGACAGACAGACATCCCAAACACTCTGAAGTGTAGGTAGTGTGAAAACAGCTGTTCAGATACCTGGGGAGTGAGGGTTAAGAGTTCTGCTTCCCCCACACCCTCAGCCGAAGCCGGTTTGGCTCAGTGGTAGAGCGTCGGTCTGCGGACTGAAAGGTCCCAGGTTCGATTCCGGTCAAGGGCATGTACATTGGTTGCAGGCACATCCTCGGTAGGGGGTGTGCAAGAGGCAGCTGGCCGATGTTTCTCTCTCATCGACGTTTCTAACTCTCATCTCTCTCTCTTCCTCTCTGTTAAAAATCAATAAAATATTTAAAAAATAAATAAATAAAAAAGAGTTCTGCTCCCAACTTGCCCCTGTGCAGTCCCAGTCCCAGTGCAGAAAGGGTGATTCAAGCCCTGGCTGGGTGGCTCAGTTGATTGGAGCATCGGCCCATACACCAAAAGAAAGGGTGAGTCCGCCTCACCCCTGTGATGCATCGCACCTCCTCCTCTAGCCACCTCTGACCAGTCTCTGTGTGCATGCCCTTTCCCTCCTGGAGGAGCCCGGCCTGCCTGTCCAGGCTGACTGATTCTGCAGGAGAGACCTCGGCTAAAAAATCAGCAACGTGGCTTATCAGGGAGTGCGCTGAGTTTGCAAAAGCCATTCTCTTAAAACAGAAACGCCAATCAATGCCAGGGTTTGAAAGTAGTCATGTCAGAAGCCTTCCATCTCCAGGTAAGGTTTGTATCTTTAAGGTAGATCTAATTTTGGACAAATGGATAAAATTATGTTTCTAAGCTTACAAAGCTGAAGACTACTTTCAAATATTTCCCATCCTTGAATCTCTTCTCCAAGTTACACATTCAGATAATTCCGGGTCAGGAAGGTTTTAGGTTGACCCAGTGTTCGCTGCTGCAGAAATGCCTGCTGGCAGGACGGGGAAGGCACAGCCTGCTGCTGCTCTCCGTACCTATTGTTTCCTTTGTCTTTACACAGGAAACCGAGATCCTGTTCAGGACCGCTATATGCCTGGCTGACAGCTGTTTTGAAGCTAGAGATGGTCATGTGATATAGTTTTTGCTGATAAGTGGAAATCTACTTGTGATTTCTGGGAAAGTTTGTTTTCTTGCCCTAAGTAGGCATGCACCAACCCTTCCTCCTGTCTTTTCTTCCTGTTTCCTTTCAGGAAGGTGGCTGTAAAAGCTGGAGCTGCAGCAGCCATTTCTAGGCCATGGAGGAGAGGCCAGGATAATTATGCATCGGTTGATATTCCAGAAACTGCCTACTCTAAACATGATTTGTTTAAAAAAAGAAATCTAATTTGTGCAAGCTCATTTGGTTGGTTTTTACTTACAATCAAATGCAATTTCTAATTGACATATTAACATTTAAATTAGCTTAAAAATACTATGCAGGTCAATGCATAATGTTACCTACATTTTTTTTCATCATCACAAGGTATCTTGGATATTTCTGAATCATGTAAAATGAGACACATTCTCTTGCTGTCAAGGTATCTATATGATCAGAGGATAGCTTTGTTGAGTTTTTTTTTTTTTTTTTTTTAATTTTTTCTTGTATTCATCACATTGCATTTAGATAATTAGTCTTTTTAAAACCAAGAGATCTGTCCTGGCCAGGTGGCTCAGTTGGTTGGAGCATTGTCCTATCCACCAAAAGGTTGTGGGCTCAGTTCCTGGTCAGGGCACCTGCCTAGGTTGCAGGTTCAATCACTGGTTGGGGTGAATTCGGGAGGCAATCGATCAATATTTCTCTCTCATATTGATGTTTTCTTTCTCTCTCTTTCAAATCAATGAAAAACACATCTTTGGGTGAGGATTAAAAACAAACAAAAAGTCCAACGGATCTAGCAGGGTATAGGGAACCACAGATGTAAACACCTGATTTTTTCTCAATTGCCGTTTCACTCCAAAAGTCTTAATTCATAAATATTTTTACTAATGGCACCTACCAAAGTTTTGATTTGGAGACAAAATGGTTCTAAGCCTGCAGTACTCAGGACTAAGATACTATTTTTTTAAGAAAATAGCACTTAGTTAAGTTTTATGAATTATTCCATCACAATTTGTTTCCTCTTCTACAGCAGAGTGGCCTGTCATAGGGAAACACCTGGTTGCCCATTCACACCCCAGCTTGCATGTACGAGGGGCACAGTTTGACCAGTTCTTGTTGGTTGAGTGGCAGTCATATGTTCGGCCTCCAGGCCTGCCCAGCTCACATAATCCTCCCCCAGGTGGCCCTCCACTCGCTCTCCCTTTTCTGGCTGGGGGAATGGGGAGGATTCCCGGGATGGCCTTGGAAGCTACGTATGGATTACAGAACCTCCGTCCTTCTGGGTTCCTGGGAATTGAGGGAGGAGAGCCGCCTGCTGACCTCTCTCCTGCCCAGAACTTAGACTAGAAATGATGGAGCCATGCTGTTGAGGTGTATATTTTACAATACTCACCACCCTCGGTTACAGTCCAGCAGGGAGGAGATATGTAGGGGGGGTGATGGGGGTGAAGAGCCCCATTGTTTTCATTCACTTGTTTGACGTGTGAATGCCTCCATGTGCCACCTGGCTCTGGCCTGGCATGCTTTGGAACCAGCGAAGCCCAAGCCCACGGCCAGTCCCATTCCATGACAGTGCTCAGGCCTAGAGGGTGGGGATGGGTTCACCGGGAGGGAGTTCCTAGGGCTGTAATCCGAGACCTGCATTTCCCTCTCAGGCTCCATTTCCCTGCTGCCCTCTTTCCAGGAGAGGGATCTTGCCTCAGCTTTCACCTCTCCCATCTCTGCAGACTTCAGATGGTGGCTAATCGCCTCCAGCTGCACTGGCTCCTGCTCTGCTGGCCTCGCTGCCCGTGCTTGTGACAGGAAAACAAGGCCTCAGGACTCCAGTTCACTCAGAACAG